ACAGGTCTACATAAATTGACAGACAACTTGAAACACACTTATAATGGGTACATGTGATTTCACATGCCCCTTTATCTCCTTAGACATAGGCTATATTCCAATCCCCAGAAAGTATTTTACGGAACAATCTCTTGCATTTCAGGAGCATTAAAATGTAAAGGATATTCCTACATTGTAATCTGTGCTACCCAGTTGAACCAGGTTTGATACCTTTTCAATTGTGGATCCATTCTGTGAAATCCTAGGGCATAGAATTTGGTGAAGTATTTAATAATTCTTTGTTAGAGACCAATAGTCCCCTGAACTATCGAACACTAGAACTGTCTAATTTATTCACTGATAAATGAATGTAATATACACTAATTTGTTTCTCTATTATCAGTTTTCCACAAAACTCAGATAATAAACCAATACAGAAATATAAATCATAGAAAACTCAGCTAAATGTATATCAAATGATACGATCAACTACACTAAAGTATTCCAGAAATTTGTCATATAGTTTTTCTGGTCGTTTATCAAACCAATCATGAAACTGTTGAACTGGAACAGTGATTTTTCCAGCCCCTCCTCACTCTATTAATTTGTGAGATACTGAGAAATATAAAATAATTTTGTTTCAGTGCTATCTCGATTTGTTCTGGGGGAGTGAGGGCACCAAAGAGAAAATACCTTTGTGAAAGAGAAGTCTGGGGGTAAGCAGGATTGGGACACTTTCTGTCAAGCTATAGTGATTCCATAACAGTCAACTTCTGCCCCTGCAGTTCCATATCCTATGCATTGCATGGAGAACATCCTTTTGCTTGGTATCATAAGAGATAGCAGTTGTGGCTAGTAACATTTTCTTTAATCTACAAGCCATCATTTGAGCTATACTGTGTGTTCATTGGAACATTCTGAGGTATAACTCTCTAAGCACACTTTCCTTTGTGTGCTGGCAGCCATCAATTTGATCTCCCTGTTATATTCAGAAGTGCTGCTGCCAGCTGCCTACCCATAAAGCCTTTAGCCTGTTGCCCTCCTTGGAGCAGGATGTGAGTAGAGCTTTGGAGCTGGTTTCCTGGTGCGTCTCCTGAAGGCTTAAGGAAAAAGAAAACCCATACTCTATCCCAGACACGTGCACCTACAGCGGGATTGGAGAGACCCCTTGCTGGAGTCACAAATAGAGGATTTACCCTCCACTATAGAAATGGAATAAGCTCTCCAGCCAAAGCCTGCGCGGACTCACTTCCAAGAGCCCTTCGGCACAATGGGAGCAGCAAATCCTGCCTCGCACACCCTATGCCAGCTATTAAAGTGAAGAGAGTCAAACAATTCAAATAGAGAAAACATGGAAGAGGTAAAGCGAAGATAATTTTCAAGTCCATAAGTTTATTTCTCCAGATTTCAAAATAGGGGTTAATCCATCTTTGTACTTTTTCCCTAAGGCCAGACTCGATATTTTCCCCCTCCCTAGATCTGCTTCAGATCACAACCTGACAATCTTTTCACACATGACGTGACACATAGACAAAGGCAAAACAACTGGGTTTCTATGCAGAATGTGAACAATTTCCCTGCTGAACAAAATGGCTCATTCATACTGGTGTTTGTCAAAGTTGCACCAGGTCACCCATTTCTTGGTAAGGGAAGCAGTACCACGCTTCTGTTGGTTTGTCATTTGATCTCACATTCAATTGACATTTATCAAATTATGCAGACTGCAACTATCATTCTACACACTTAGAGCAATCCTGTTTGTTTGGGGCAATTGTTAAAGAAAGAGATATATATCCTAGAGTGTGTGTCTACTGAAAAATGAACCGGTTTTAAACATCAGCTTTGAGTCAAAATGGCCTCTACAATTCTTGAAGGCGTATTTCCTTAAGGGGTTCATCTTATGTACATCCATCTAGTAATCTGTTCTGTTGAATTTCATGTAAACTATTTCCTAGTGGACATGGATAGGATCAGGTTCATAATCTTTGACACCAGATCTCTTTTGACCTGAGTCAAGATAAGTTAAACTTGGTTACTTAGATTTGTGTATTGATTTGCATTAATGACTTGACCTGCAATTTCAGAGTAAACTCTCCTCAGGACTGATTTGTAAGGTATTCTTCACCTTCAGGGCTTTTCAATCATTACTTGTTTCTTTTTGAAAGGGCAACTTGTCAGCCTCATTTGTTACTTAAAGAATTATTGATGGATGACTTTTAAATCTGGTTTTAATTTTTAAAACAAAAACCCTTAAAAATACAAAATTGCTCCCCATTATTTCTCCAAACAACATTTGAGAAGTAAGTAGTACACATTTTTGTGCCAATTAAAAAAAAACACCACATTAACTATTGTGTTACTTTGCAGAATGAATGCAGTGCCACATGTTACTTCTATTTTTACTCATCTGTACTAAGCAGTTTTTTGAGGGATTCATTTCCCTAACCATCTTTAAAGAAACAATTTATGTTAGCAGATGGCATTAGTCTGTTGAGATCTATGACTAGCCACAGGCACAATATTAAACGTATGGTGCAGTGCTTGCTGGAAAAGCTAGGTCACTCTCAATGCAAGCAATTTCTGCTAAAGAACCATGTGTGATGAACTCTTGCAGCAAGCAGAGTTTATGGCAAATTACTGTCACTGGATCCACAAAAGGCATGGCTCTGGTTATGGGACTTTATTATTTTTGCATCAGTGTATACCAGGCATGGGCAAACTTTGGCCCTCCAGGTGTTTTAGACTTCAACTCCCACAATTCCTAACAGCCCACCGGCTATTAGGAATTGTGAGACTTGAAGTCCAAAACACTTGATGGCCAAAATTTGCCCATGTCTGGTGTATACAATAATGTAATATGGGAGAACAGCACTGAAGAGCTTTGATTCTAAATTTTGAAGGAAGGGATAGCCACCATGGGGAACGAAAAAAGAAACAGAAAGGAGAGGTAAAAATAACGAACTATGAATGTGATCAAAACTTAGCTTTTGAAAAGGTCTATGTACTTGGATCATGTGATTTTAATGTTTTATTAGGTGTTTTAATTTTTCTATTTCATGTTTTAAATGTCTTTTTATAGTATCTTATGATGAATTGTCTCATTGATTTAAAGCTTTGTTATATGGTGTTGATTGTGATTTGGTGCACATATGTAACGCATTGAATTTTGTACTATTTCTTTGTAAACTGCGTTGAGTCCCCCCCAGGGGTGAGAAAAGCGGTATATAAATACTGCTAATAAATAAATAAATAAGCAAGCAATAAAGGCTTAAGTCCAATACTTTGTTACAAAGCTGGATTTTTGCTTTAACGTGTGATTTCACCTGTTCATTGGTTGCTGTCTATAAATGGTGGATGGTATTTGGCTAATCAATATTTCTCAATTTTATTTCACAGAAAAACCAAAGGTAGTCAAATTGGCCACAAGAAATAGATTAAAATATCCATACTGGTGAAATTCCTTTATCAGGTCAATTAAAATGGTCTATTCAAATGCATGACCCAGTATGGATTAACCCTATGGCTATGTGACAAAATGATATGTGTGTAACTATGTTATTATTGTTGCTGTAATCATGCTATGTTTCTAATGTAAGTAAAACTTCATGTGGAATATTAAAGTGAACCACATTCTACCACAACAGTGGAGGTAGCTTTTAACCAAATAATATCTGCAGTTAAAGAAAAGCTGTTGTGCACTTCCCATTAAAAATAAGTTATATTTTAATAACTTTATTGCCGACAGCCATAGAAGAAACAGTCTTGAGAATCTGAAACAATTAAGTGAAATAGAAAAGAGGACTGAGGATGTTGTTTGAATGTGCTGACGGACTGTGTAAAGACTGAAAATGTTTTGAGTTAAATAAAAAAGCATTAAAAGTTTGATTTGTTAGAAAAGAGAACTCCGAGGTCTCTTCAAGAAAGTGAAAATCGAAGCCTTCAAAACCTGGTATTCTAGGCGCCCACCTGTCACTTCCCACTTTCTCCATAATTGTCACTTTTTATTGATCCTTTTTAATCCTCTTTTCTTTGAAAATCTGTTGCCAGCTGATGTTTCATTACACCAAAGAGAATTCTCTTTTTTAGTATGTGTATCCCCACAGGTAGTCTCTTGCTGAGGGCTAAACCAGGGCTACCAGCTTAAATTCACTTTATTGTGTGCCTTAATGGCTTATACTTTCATTCTTATTCAGGTGATGTAGGAGAATTCTGTGATTGAGATGTATATAAACTGCTTCCTGGGTAAGTGTTTTAAGTTATTTCTGGTGTTTGAGACCCAGCTAGGCGGTGAGGGTATTAATCCATCCATATGCACTGAATTTACAAATGTTAAAAATATTTATTTACACCATTTTTCCACACAAAAAGTACAGCATCTCATTTTAAGACAATGCAGACATAATAATAAGAATAAATCTCTTTATGTACAAAAATATAGTTTTCATATGAATGAACATTCTTGAATAAATTAAACTAGCATCAGACAGACATAGACAGTGAATGCCCCACATCTAGTCCTACTCGAAAACAAGACAGAGGCAAAGGAGGTCATGATCCATAATGCATGAACCTAGTTCCTTGTCTGCCTTGTTTAGGGACTGATCGCATCAGATTCAGAGCCCTGTCAGGGAGAAGCAAAGCTCCATCCATAGCCATTTGAATGTATTGAGAATTGGGTGTGCTAAGTCCCTAACAGGAAAGCCTGCGCACCCAGCCGAATCAGCCCGCCCTAAGCCTTTTGAATGTATTGTCAGGGCATTCAAACCAAATTGTCATGCTCATTTTTCTTCATTAGAGTTCTACAAATTGTAAAATTGACTTTTCACCTTGTCTGTAGCAGCAAATCTGTCCCTATTCTTCCCTTTTCAGAATCATATTGATGCCTAAGAGCTCAGGTCAATGGAAAGGAAAGAAACAAAGTGGGACTTGTGATGTGGCAAAAAAACAAAACAAAAAAGAGTGGGTGAAGGAAGAGTGGGGGGGGGGGAAGCAAATTCTTAGAAAGCAAAAGGGGGGGGGGACATAGATGAGTCCTGCTGCCACAATCATCAATTGATTATTTGCTCAAAAATACTGTATCAAAGTCCTGGTTATTGTTTTATCTGTTTTAGCCAGACCTGTTTGTGACTTCTTGGATCGAAAATGACAGCTCGAAGGAGCTTTGATCTGAAAAACCAAAGCACAGCTCCTTTGCTTTGTGTGAGTACCTAAAATGAAGAGCTTGGAAGAGTACCTTTTAGGCTACAACTCCCAGAATCCCTCCATCAATAAGGGAGGTTCTGGCAACTGTAGCCCAGAAAGTTACTCTGAATGTAAAACTCAACCAGAACAATCTAACAAAAGTAAGAGCACTGATCACAGGGGATTATCCTTTCGGTGGGGACACCCCACAATGTACACACTGCCTTTACAGTCTAATGGTACTGCATAAAACAAGAAGTGTTCTGCAACAAGTCTTTAGGGAGGCTGTGGAAGGAGAAGAGGTTCTCGGTGTGTCTGTAGCAATAGTCTTCAGAGGATGCTGGGCTGCTAGGGCTGGAGGTGCAGGCGGACAGGGAGGAAGAAGTGCCTGGAGAAGCTGTGGAGATCCAGGAGCCGGCATCGCTGCCAGGGCTGGGCGGATGGTCCCCAGAGCTCAAGTAACTGGGCAGAACCATGTCCTTGGGTGGCTTCTGGAGGCGCTGGTCAGCCAGCCGCAGTGTCTCTGAGAGGGCCCAGATATAATTGTGAGCAAAGCGCAGGGTCTCAATCTTGGTCAGCTTGGTGTCATCAGGAAAGGTGGGCAAGACACTCCTGAGCTCATCCAAGGCTGAATTGAGGTTATGCATGCGGTTCCTCTCCCTGTCGTTTGCCTTCACCCTCCTGGTCTTCTTGATGGTGTGAAGGACAGCTTCATTTTTGACCTTGGTGCGGCCTCTTCGCTTCTTCCGTTCTTTCTCTTCTTCCCTTTTGACTGGGCTGAGCTCTGGGGAAGAGACATGCTTGGGGGAAGCCAAAGAAGGGATCTGGAAACTGCTAACTTCATCATCTGTGAGGCAAAAGGACACCTCACTGCTGTTGTCCAGGTCGGAGGAGTTGGTCTCCAGGGCAGAGGAGGACATCCTAGTGCAGAGAGGCAAAAACAGAAATCTTATTATTGGGATTTAAGTTGAAGGAGAGCTCTAAGGCACTAGATCTAGGAATTAAGCAACACTGGCCCTAGCTAGTGCTTGAATGGGTTACTGCCAATGAGTGCCTGGTACTTTCAGAAGATCACAGAGGAAGGGAAGAGCACCTCTAAGTATTCCTTGCCTAAGAGAGCATCAACCCTGTGCCATTAATGCAGTTTGACAGCACTTCAATTGTCATGGAATCATGGGTGCTGTAGTTTTACATGGTTTTTAGCTTTCTTTGCCAAAGAACACTAGCACCTCCTTAAACTACAACTCTCTGGATTCCATGGCATTGAGCTATGGCAGTTAAACCTGTGTCAAACATCACGGGTTCTCAACCTGTGGGTCTCCAGATGTTTTGGACTTCAACTCCTAGAAATCCTAACAGCTGGTAAACTGGCTAGGAATTTTGGGAGTTGTCGGCCAAAACACCTGGCGACCCACAGGTTGAGAACCATGCCCTAGTGGAAAGGGAGGGAAAATTAATTAAAACAGGAAAAAGAAATTGCAAATCAAGCCTAAAGTGAAAAGAAAGGATGGAACAATGAAAAAAGGCTGCAGTTTCAGGTACAGTTACACCAGACATGAGCCAACTTTGGCCCTCCAGGTGTTTTGGAGTCCAAAACACCTGGAGCGCTGAAGTTTGCCCATGCCTGAGCTACACTATAAAACTCCACTTTGACTCTGTTTGACTCCACATTGACTGCTATGGCGATGTATAGTTTGGTGAGGCACCTGCAGCACTCTGTTGCAGAGAAGACCTTGTAAAACCACAGCTCCCAGGATCTCATCGCATTGAGCAATGGCATTGAAAGTGCTGTGATGCACCCATCAGAGAGAAATATTCATCGCACTAGGGAATGAATCCACTTTCAATCCGGTTTCTGCCTCCTGCAGAATTCTGGGGTTTGTCGTTTCGGGAGGCTGTTCAGCAACCGGATTGAAAGTGGATTCATTCTCGAGTGTGATGAGGCCATCTAGCCTTGTCCTGCCAAGAGTCCACTGGGCTGACGGTTTGGTTTGTGGGCGGCCGTGAGCTCTCGTGGTGCCTTTCCTCCGGGCAGGGAAGCCCGTTTCCCCCGGTGGGCGGGCTCCTCTCCCTGGCCTGATACTCACTCGAGGAGGCATGCAGGGTCTCCTTCCTTCTTGGCGCGGTCCTCGGGGGTCCCGTCGAGTCGCGAGGCCAGAGCCGGGAGGCCACGCGACCCCTCTTGTCTGGGGAGTGATCCCGGCCGCTCTGGAGTCGCGCGAGCAGGCACTTTGGCACACGACCGGCCCCAGACATCCTCTTAGATATATATATACCCGGGGAGACAATGGGGCCAGCGCGCTCCCTCGCGCCTGTGGGCGCCCCACACCTCCACCCCCCCCCCCCCCCCTGCCTCCCCCCCCCCCTTCACACTCTGGCCCTGGCATGAATGAAAGGGCGAATGAATGGAGGCCGGCATCAGGTCTGCCCCGTGCGGCCCTCTCCCCGCTTTGCATAATGCGGGGGCCCCTCTCTCCCTCCCTCCGGCCCGGGAGCGTGCCTGTCATTACGGGCGCCCAATGGCCAGGCCGGAGCCACGGGAGGCGGCCCTGGGCTTCAAGCCGCCGCCGCCGCCGCCGCCTCGGAGCTTCATTAGTCTATTAAAAGCGGGAGGGGAAGGGAGGGAGGAGGCCAAGTGATTAGCCCCGGGCCAGAAGCACAAGCCTCCAAAGAAGAAGGAGCCTTTTCGGGGGCGAGCGGCTCCCTCCGGCCCCTCCGCCTTCCTTCCCCGCCGCGCCCCGCTTTGAACAGAATGCCTCGCCTTTCCCCTTTCTCAGGGGTTCTTTCAGAGGGCCCCACTCCCCATTTCTCTCTCTCTCCCCCCCCCTCAATATATCCACACCGTCAAGTGAATCAGCGGCATCAGGAGACGGAGGGCTCTGCAGCGAGGGTTGGGGCGAGAGCAGGATATGCCTTCACGTTGCCTCGTGGCCACCCCTTGAATTTCGGAGGGTGTCCTTAGGCGGGTTTGCCTCCTCCTTTCCCTGGAATAGAGCCACCTTGGATTCCTTGAAGACCTCTCCAAGGTGTGCCTATGTCTCCTGTTGGCTTCATAGACTGGATAGTCCCAAGGACTGTCCACTGTCCAGTCTAACCCCTTGCCATACAGGTATTTGTGGCCTTTGTGTGCCTATAAGCTACCTTTAACTTATGAGATCCCTTGAATCCCACAGTTTTCTTAGACAAGGAATACCCAGTGGTATGTAACCTACAGCACCTGGGATGCCTCAGCATTCTCCCAGTTAAACTCTAACCAGGGTTGACACTGTTTAGCTTCCAAGATCAGAAGAGATCCCATCTTCGGGGTATCCCTGTGCCTTCAAGTCTCCTGTTGACTTATGAAAACACCATGAATCTCACAAGGTTTTCTTAGGCAAGAAATACCCAGAGGTGGTTTTGCCGGTTTCTTCTTCTAAAATGTAACTTACAGTGTCTGGGATTTGTTGGTGTTCTCCCATCCAAATAAAAACCAAGACTGGCTCTGCTTAGTTTCCTAGGTCAGAGGCAATCTGGTGCCTTCAGGATGTATGTACATATGTGACTTCAAGTCTCCTATTGATTTATGAGAACTGTGGATTTCACAGTGTTTTCTTAAGGTAAAGGTTTCTCTTTGACATGAAGTCTAGTTGTGTCCAACTCTGGGGGTTGGTGCCCATCTCCATTTCTAAGCCAAAGAGCTGGCATTGGCCATAGATGCCTCCAAGGTCATTTGACCGGCATGACTGCACAGAGTGCTGTTACCTTCCCGCCTGAGCGGTACCTATTGATCTCCTCACATTTGCACGTTTTCAAACTGCTAGGTTGGCAGAGGCTGGGCCTAACAGTGGGAGCTCACCCCACTCTCCAGATTCAAACTGCTGACCTTCCAATCAGCAAGTTCAGCAGCTCAGTGCTGCACCACCACCAAGGGTTTTCTTAGGCAAGGAATATTCAGAAGTAGTTTAACCACTTTCTTCCTCTGAAATATCACCGTCAGCACCTGGTATTTTTTGCCAGCCTCACATCTAAGAACCAACCAGGGCTGGCCCTGCTTAGTTTCCATGATCAGAGGGGATCTTGGGCCTTCAGGGCATCTAATGATGACCAGGGAATAAAGACTGCCCAGCCTGCCTTCTCAGGAAGGTTGCCCCCTTGTCCTGCCTGTGCCTGGAGACAGAAGGCCTGGTGGGATTGGATTCTGCAGTGACAATCTGACATCTGACAATTGGACACGCAATGATCTCTCATTTGTTTGGATTTCACAGGAGTGGGCTTTCAAATTGACCCAAGGGGGAAAGCTGTTGGGGGTTTGTTGGTGTTCAAACAAGAGCTGAATTATGTGGCTTGCAAAACTTTTGGTTGCGTTGGGGCTGGCCATTCCTCTTTATAATGGAACACCCCCTCCCTGCCTTTTGTGTGGGTTCTTTATCATAAAGACTATAACAGAGTGCTTTTTCCTTACTCAAAGGAATGTCCATCTGTCCTATTCGGGAATTCTTGTAACTTTCTTCACTCCTTGGTTTTCTTAAAACATGTATTTTGGATTAGTTTGTCCAACACAATTTTCCCATTTAGAAAATGAATGAAAGGTGTTTGTGTTGGGGATTCAAAAGGATAAAAACATTTAGAGATAAAAAGCACATAAGCAGTTCTGCTCTTTTTCCAGAGCACCAGATAAATATTTAGTTGATTTCCAGCAGATGAAGATATTTCTTTTGTGTTTGTCGTTCTTAAGTGGTGGAACAGTGTAAACAGAATTGTGCAGTTAGATGTAAAAAAATAAATAAATCAGCATGCTTTTAAAATTCAACAAGTTCAACAACAAAACAAGTCCAATCCTATGCATCTCTATTTGGAACTGAAGCATGTCACATTGTGTAAATCTAGACAGCTCCTTTGCAAATGAAACAGATTTCAGCCACATAGCATATAAAATAATTAAATGCATTAAAAACAATATACAATTAAACAATAATAATAATTTTTTTTAAAAAAAACAAGGTTAGAATATATTAAAACATTATTATGTTATTATTATTTATATTATAAAACCACACTATCCGCAATCATAGTCCAGGCCATTCTGGTAGTTATTGTATCTAGCTCCAAATACTTCTATTGCACTGTATTATTCTTCAAAAGCTTGATCCCAAAGCCACATTTTCACTCTCTTTCTGAAAGTCAGAAAGGAAAGGGCTGATCTGATATCACTGGGAAGGTTGTTCTAGCTGAGGGGCCGCAACTGAGAAGGCCCTGTCTCTCATTCTCACCAATCGTGCCTGTTAAGGAGGTGGGACCAAGATTTCCTGTTTGCCTTTACAACTGACTAGGAGGACCTCTGTCTTGTCTGGATTCAATTTCAATTTGTTTACCCTCATCCAGACCATCACAGGTGCCAAGCACTGATTCAGAACCTGAATAGCCTCCTTAGTAACAGGTGGAAAGGAGCGATATAGTTGAACGTCATCTGCATACAGGAGACATCAAACTCCAAATCTCTGGAGGATCTCTCCTACTGGGTTCATGTAGATGTTAAACAACATGAGGGGATAATATTGAAGCCTGCAGGACCCCACAAGACAATGGGATGAGAGACTAGCATTTTTCTTTGCATAATGAATACAATTGCATATAATTTGGCATGATCCTAGTTATCTCTAGTAGTTCTTCACTCTTCCAGTTAATTTTTCATTAGCATGATATTCCAGACTCTGTTCATTGAGCATTTATGTGGAGCTCCCAATTATATTTAATACCTAAACATACTGCCAAATATAAATACATGAGCAATTCTTTATGACAAAGAGAATCATTTGCATTTCTGGGCACGTGAAGTAGAATATAAATTGCTCCCCCCAAAGACATAGTTTACTTTTAAACATATCTTTGGGTTGTATCCAATACCCTCCTTCTGTACATGGAAGGTTCTTAGACCCACTGAATGATAACACAAATGCAAAAGGAATAGGATTGTAATGATTCCTTCCCAGCTCCATTACTTCTTTATCCTGCAACTTATTCACCACTGATCCAGATAAGATAATCTGTTAGATTTCTTGGTATGTCACCATTTTGTTTCAGTGACAGACACATGTGATCTGTGTATGATTTGCTTGATGCATATTGGATTAAATTTGGTTTACTAGGACGTTGCATTGAACAACTATGCATAGGGGTGCAGCTTCAACCTTGTTCTTATTTCTGCTGTTTGAAACCGTTAGATCTTAAACAATGTTGGCTTAAATGCAGTGATACATGAGCATAAATGCCCACTACATGAGGGTACATTTCCTTCCTTCATGCCACATATGAACCTTCCCCGGGGTTTTTACAGGCTTATTGGAAGGAGAGGGCAGGAAGGAGAAACAGGCAGTTGAGCAGTGAAGTTCCTTTGGGCTTCTCCCTTTGAAGATTACATTTGCTATCCAAGGTGCTGAATCTATTATAAATCAAATTCAAATAGGGTATCAGTTCATTTCTGGGCACGATTCAAAGTGCTTATTAGAACTTATCAAACCCTGTAATGGCTTTGGCTATTGGGAAGACTTTATTGCACAATATGAACCTGCCTGAATTTTAAAATTATCTGGGGAAGGCTTTCTCTTGGTCCCAACAACATCATAGGCCCATCTGGTGAGGACACAGGGCAGGGCATTCTCAGTGTCTGCTCCCAATCCAGTCTCCTTGCTCACCTTTCACTGACAGGCAAAGACCTTTCTATTTAAAATAAGCATTAGTGATTAATTACATGCAAAGAAACAGAGGCCCTTCTGTCTGTCCCACCACCTTTTAGTCCTGCTTGGTGGAAACAAAGGAAGGGGGGCTTCTTTGTGGCTTCTCCTAGACTGTGGAACCTCCTCCCTAGAGAACCCAGGTTGGCCCTGTCCATGTTCTCCTTATAGTAGCAGGTAAAAACAGTTCTGTTCTGCCAGGTCTTTACAAATTAATGAGGATTGGGTTGTTGAGTCCCCTTGGGGAGATACAGTGGAATATAAATAAAGCATATTATTATTATTATTATTATTATTATTATTTTTACTGCATGATAATGTTTTGACAAGATCCCTGATAGTGCAGTGAGTTGAACCGCTGAGCTGCTGAGCTTGTTGACTGAAAGGTCGCAGGTTCGAATCCGAGGAGTGGCGTGAGCTTCTGCAGTCAGCCCCAGCTTCTGCCAACCTAGCAGTTTGGAAACATGCAAATGTGAGTAGATCAATATGTACTGCTCTGGTGGGAAGGTAATGGCATGCCATGCTGTCATGCTGGCCACATGACCTTGGAAGTGTCTATGGATAACACCGGCTCTACAACTT